TACGGCTTAAATCATACAGCAGAGCTATACGAATGCCTAAAGAAAAATGTGGAGGATTTATGTTGCGCTAGGCAAACAACCTCGAAATCTTATGGATTGTTGTTTAATTTCTAGGAAAGGAATGATTTTGCTGGGAAAACATGTTCTGCTGTTGAAGATGGTCGTGCTGCTCACTGCACTAGCTCCAAGCTCCTCGACATGACGAGTTCAAGTTTTCTAGGGTGTCCGGTTATAGTGTTAAATCAAACGGCCCTATGGTTGTAATCCTCTAAACATCCTATATAAAAAAAGAAATATGCTTGAAGTTATATAATGTAAAGTGTTAAATGCAGGAACAAACAATAGAATGCACGTGGAACAGTAGTAAGTAAAAAAAAAAACAGGAGCAGTATAACATGATATACAGTACGGTAGTAGGTGGAAAAAGGAACAGTATAACATGCTATACAGGAAGAATAACAGCAGGTAGAAAACAGGAAAAGTGTAACATGCTTTACAGGAAGAGCAGTAGCAGGTAGAAAACAGAACAAATGTAACATGCTTTACAGGAAGAGCAGTTGCAGATAAAAAACAAGAAAATTAAGTGCTGTAAAATGTAAAGCAAACTTGTACACCCGTGAGATCTGATGTTCCTTAAGCATAGCAAGCCTAAATGCATCTCAGAAATCAAAGTCCGGAAGAGAACGTCATCCAAGAAATTCGAGGAAAAGCGGAAAACTCGAGAGAAATCAACGAAAAAGACTTAAGGAAAAGAAAATCCTCAAAACTCCTAGGGAAATCCCGAAAGAAAGAAAAAGTAACACGAGTGCCCTGTCCCAAAGCTTCGATAAAACAAAAAGATGATTCGGATGAGGGGGACCGCAAGCACTCGTATGGGACTAGACTCAGCTGTATATTTATTCTTGAGGGTCCACGAAGGCTACTCGGTCACCCGAATATATAAAGCCCGCCTTCGTCTAGAAGAGTGTCTTGAACCTCACTTAGAGAGACTATTTCACAGCCTAAACAGGTATTCGTCAGGTGGACAACCAACTTTAAAACGTGTTTTAAAATTTATGTTTTCGACATACACACAAATTTTAAACATGCAAAGAAGAGTTATCAATTTTGTTTCGTAGAAAAATATGTTTTCGTTTGAAAATGGTTTATTAAAACTTATCTTTTTTTTTAGAAATTTTTGTTGTTCACGAGTCGATTACGCTGCCAGGCATAGGACTACCAACAACTTGAGGAGGTTCGAGTCGACTACCGCTAGACTTATGCCGGTGATTAAATGCATGGATCTTGATGTTATAGGATAGGGCATAGATATGACATCCGTTTGGGTCTGCGAAACCGTTTGCCCCAAAACGACTACTTGCGACCTTGTTTGATGGTTTCACGTATAGCAAAAGGCTATACGTGGACACTTATGCATCAGACATAAGCATCGAAAACCGAACCAAGAAGCAGGAAAGAAAAGAACAAAAATGGGGTGAGAGAGAGAAGACATTGATCCATCTAAAACACCGAAAAGGAGATTGTATCGGTTCTCAGAACTCGCATCGAAAAGACCTGAAAAAGTAGGGCCCAAGGTCTTTCCTAACGAATATAAAATATCCCTTCGCGCTGATTTTTCAAACCCCAAAGAAATAGGAATGCTCAAGTCCACCAAATGCTTTTCCAAGATGAGGTTTAAAATCTCCCAAACTTCAAAAGAAAGTGACCGCGGGGAAATCACCGTTAATATTTCCAAACTTATACTAAAATCGA